TGGAACCATCCTGTCCTGTTTTTGTAAATGTTTTGATATTGTCTGCTGTTTTCGGGGCATTCAGTAGTTATTTCTCTCGTTTATTGATTGTAGATTTGTTTGTTTTGTCCCTTTTAAAAAAAAAAATTTGACTATGTCTGAGCAGGCGGACTGCATGCTCTTTGTTATTTGCTCATCTGTGTGCTCAATACTTTTCGCCTCCTTCTCCAACTGGCAGTTCTGTCACTCAGATATGGTACAGCAGGGCAGGTCTAGCTGAAGAGGAGCCACTGGGACGGTTGTTTGTGGCTCTCACTACAGCCACCAGGGCGGGTTGGTAATCAGTGCAGGACAGGTTCCAGTAGGCCGTGCCTGCACTGCTTGGTGGTTTGATGTCAAGCGCACGGTGCAGGTAGGCCGGATGCAGCGGGGAGATGGTTATGTGTGGAGCTAAGCTGGATATGGGAAAGAGGAGAGAGGAACAGGAGCCAAAAAACCGGCTGTTTTGTCTCCCACTGGATGCTCCTTGAGGCTGCTTTCTCGTACCCCCATTTGCTGGTCTCTGATAGGAGTCCAAGATGGTGGATCCATGCTGCATTTGCTGGCAGGGGACCTCTGCATGAATCTCTCCTCGCTCTCCGTTCTCTGTCAGTATTCTCACTCCATTTGGTGCTTGGCTGAGTTCTTTATCTCTTCATTTGATGTTTTAAGGTTTCAGGATTGTTGTATTCTCTGTTTGGCTTAGGTTTTCGGATCTTTGCTGTGGAGGGTTGGCGTGGTGCTTCTGCCTAGAGCGCCATTTTGCCGGAACTCCGAGTGACTCTTTTCTGATATTAGGCAACATGCCTCAAATTAAGTCAGCTTGCCATAGTTTAGATCACATGCTACCCTGAGTGAACAACTCTGGCTAGGAGGATGTTCTTTCCTCATTGGCCATATCTGTGGTTTGTGCTTACCATTTCATCTACAGAGTGGAGTCAGCCCCACTTATCAAAATATGGACTTGAGAGTGGGAGACAGGTGATTACTTAAAAGGCAAAGATATATTCTTTTATCAGAAGAGGGCATGTTGTACAGACCAAAACAATAGCCTCAAAGACATTGGGAAAAACGAGAAGAAGGTAGGGAAGAGAGATAAGAGAGAAAGGTAGAAGAAGGAGAGAGGGGGAGAGAGAGAGAGACTGAATTAATTTACCATAAACAACTTCCGTCATGACCTTTAAGGGACCAAGAGGCAGAGCTGAATATAGTATAAAGTATGATGAATGGATATTATTTTTAAGGTTTATGTAGGCATTGTCTGGTTTAAAAATGAGAGCCCCACAATTGGTTTTACTACACAAAGTTCTCATGATACTGAGTTCCACAACTTCATCTGTGAATACCAAAGGCATGTATTTTGCCCAGCTGAAATTATTGCATGCCTTAATGTCTTTCATATTTTCCATGAGTACAGGCGTCTGCTCATAACTTTCTTCACAGCCTCTTTTACCTCCTTATTCCTCAGACTGTAGATGGTGGGGTTCAACATTGGAGTCACCACTCCATAAGACAGCCCAATTATCTCATCAGATACCTTTGTGTCCTTTGATTTTGGTTTCATGTACATAAAAAGGGCTGAACCATAGAATAAGATTACCACAGCTAGGTGGGCTGAGCAGGTAGAAAAGGCTTTCTTTCTCCCCTCAGTGAAATTAAGTCTCAGGATGGTAGAGAGGATGAAAACATAGGAGATGAAAATTAACAGTAGAGGAATCACTAAAAAAACAATACTTCCCACTGTTAAAATAAGCACATTGATGGAGATATCTGAGTAGATGAGTTTAAGAAGAGCCAGTAACTCACAGGTAAGATGGTCAATGACATTATTCCCACAAAAAGGTAACATCATTGGCAGAACTGTTTGCACTAGGGAGTTCACACAGCCTATGATCCAGGACCATGCAGCCATGTGCACACAGAGTATCCTGTTTATGATGATGGGGTACCTCAGTGGGTTACAGATAGCCATATACCTGTCGTAGGCCTTCACAGCCAGGAGAGCACACTCAGTGCATCCTAAACCAAGGGAGATGACCATCTGAAGAGCACAGCCAGTGAAGGAGATGGATTTTCTCTCAGACCTAAATATGATAAGCATTGGAGGAACAAAAGAGGATGTGTAACAGATGTCCAAAAATGAGAGGTTCCCAAGGAAGAAGTACATGGAGGTGTGGAGGCGAGAATCCAGGATGCTGATGATAATAAGAAGGCTGTTTCCCAGGAGTATTATCAGGTACATGATAAGGCAGAACATGAACAGAGAAAGCTGGAGCTCTGGGTATTGGGAAAGCCCCACCAGAAAGAATTCAGTCACGGCAGAGTAATTCCCCATGTCACCCGCAGAGTTCAGATGAGGACATGACTAAGGGAAGTTTAAATTTATAATGTAGATTTTCAACACATGTTCACTTTCATTATTTTGTTTGATTCTTAGAACAGTACTGAGAATCAGGGAGAGCAGGGACATTACAATCGTGCACTGCATAATGTCTGTTAGGCAACCTCCAACCACACGTACATCCGTGGTCCCCTAAGGCCATAATAGAGTTCAGAAATCCTGATCAGAGAACTGGATGTAGTGAATGCAACAGCTTCCTGCTGGCAACACATGCTTGTCTACAAAGGTATTGCGCTGCCAGACGTATAATGGTATAGTGCATATATACCCTATAATACATTTGTATTGGTAGTCATCATAAATGCCTATGTTACTGGCTTATGTATGTACTGTACTGTACTTTCTATCTGAAAAGTTTACCGTGTAACAGTGTAAGCTTTGACTCACAGGCAGCAGCATCCAATCTCGTGTATTGCGCATCTCTTCAGTGTTGTAGCATTATTTCTCTGTTTGATAGTCTTTAGAAAATATTATCATGAAGTGCATCATGGCTCCCAAATGCAGCAAAACCAGTGCTAGTGATAGCAGCAGCAAGAGGCAAAGGAGAAATATTGATTTGGAAGTGAAACAAAAGGTTATTAGGCAACACGGAGGTGGAAAGTCAGTGAAGGCTATTGCTCACGATTTAAGCATGCAGCACTCAATAATCACAAAGATCCTCAAAAACATAGAAAAAAATTCTTCAATTTGTTAAATTATTGGCTCCACTGAAAGCTACAAGGTTAAAAAAAATGTGAGAGGGACCCATATCAGATATGGAGAAATTGCTAATGGCATGGATTGAGGACCAAACACAAAAGCGCATCCCTCTCAGCACTTTGACGATCACTGCTAAGGTTGTTGGAGATGTTTAAAGAAAAAGCAGGACCAGACTATGACACAATGTCCAAATCACATAATATCCTATTTCACAGAACATATTGTGGACATTAAATGATGCATGACTGCATGCTAATTTTACTGATGATGAAACTTTAGAACTGAGAGATTCAGTACTTCTTAGGACCACACCACAATAGGAGCAAGGCCACCAATACCCCCAAGAAGTGCCATGCCTCTAATAAAATAATAATTAGGAACAAAATAATTTTAGATGTGAATATAGAGCAATAATCATTATTAATGAATGTTCTAAAATTAAAGCTGTTTTCTAATGAAGCTGGTTCCATTTTAAAAATATTACATCATACACAACCAGCACCATATAATTTAGCTTAGGTATGAATTTGTATGAATTACTTAACTTTTCTGAGCCTCAGCTGGCTTGTGGTAAAATATGGGAAAGAATTAACTGTTTGGCAATTTGTTGTGAGAATTAAATTATATAAAATACCTAAGGTGTTTGTCACAATAGTTGGTTAAAACATGGTATCTGTAATTATATTTTATAATTGTATTTTATACAATTATATTTATACAATTTATATTGTAGTTATTAGGCCTCTTGACTGACTCATAAGGAAAAATTCATTTAGTGTGTTTAAGGTGATGGTACTAAGGTTTGGGAACATAATGGACAGACTTTGAATACTTTGTCTTCTCAGATGGGCATCTACCTGCTCTTGCAAGGACCAGTTGAGAGTTAATCTGGAAACATTTGAGACTGGTTCCAGAAACTTCCAGGGGCTGAAGAGCCTGGATCTGCACTATGTACAAGTTTTTTAGAACCTGGAATTCCTCTTCTCTTGGTATTAAAAAAAAAAAAAAAACTTTTGCCATTGAGTCAATTCCGACTCATAGCGACCCTATAGGACAGAGTAGAACTGCCCCATGGGGTTTCCAAGGAGCAGCTGGTGGATTTGAACTGCCGACCATTTAGTTAGCAGCCAAGCTCTTAACCCACCTAAATAACTGTTGTTTTCCTCTAAATCCTGTAAGTCCTCTCTTCTTTCTTTGTCACCAAATTCCTAGATGTATATTTAAATTTTCTCAGGAAAATTAATATCATTTTACTCAGTACTTAATGATAATTTTCTCTCAGTCTTTATATGTGATTCCTTGAAATGCATGCCCAGATCTTTCATAGTATTTTTATTTTATAACAATGAACGTTCTGATAATGAGTACACAAAATATGCTTACAGCAGTGCCTCACAGAGTTCTCAATGAATGTTGATAACTATTAGTGTAGCTGGACTAATAATAAAAAAACCAAAAACCAAACCCATTGCCATCCAGTCAATTCTGACTCATAGTGACCGCATATGACAGAGTAGAACTGCTCCCTAGGATTTCCGGAGCAGCTGGTGGATTGGAACTGCTGACCTTTTGGTTAGCAGCCGAGCTCTTAACCACTGTGCCACCAGGGCTCTGGACTAATGATAGTTAATATTTATTGAGAAGTAACTCTGTGCCAGGCACTGTTAAAAGCACATTGAGTTTATTAACTCATTTAATTTTTACTGCAACCCAAAGAGATGGGTATTATTATTATCCCTATTTTACAGTGGAACAAACAGACAAAGGGAAGTTAAAAGTATCTTGCCCAAGGTCACACAGCTAGACTCAGGATTTAATACCTGATAGTCTGGCTCCAGAGTAAACCTTCTTAACACAAAACCACACTACCTCTCACAGATCCTATTCTTTACCTTTAAAAATACTACATAGACTTTGTGTATGTTGAAATTAACCTTCCTGTTTTACTTACCTTTTCTAGTCCAGACATTGATCTTCCTGTTTTATAAGTTCCTACTATGTACAGCTGTGCTCTTTCATTTGTTTCATATTTGTCTGATATGATGCCCGAACAAGACTGTAGACTTTTTGATGCAAGAATTGTGTTTTATACTTTATAGTATCCCCATGATCGCTTGTATTCACTGGACTGTGGCTGCAGAATGAGAAAATTTCTCCCTTATCCTGTTATGAATCCAAAATCAAACACTTGCCCTGCCTTCATGTTTTTGGAGTGCATGAGGGCATGATTTCTTGGCGTATTCCTTTGTCGATCACATAGGGCAGTCCTCCTGGCCTCTCTATTACCTTTCTATATTTTTAATCTTCTGCTTAGTGAGTTATCACCTAAACAATGGTTATGGAGAGATTTAAAAAGAGATGATTTTAGCAACTTGGACAAGAGTCTCTTCTTCCTGCACTGTCTTGCCTGTCTCTAGTCACCTTGGCACGTGGACTTGTTTCCTGAAAAGTGTGAATTGAGGCAATTTTGATTTGTTTGAGCATAGCTGTTCTGAAGTAGAAGGAGGGGGAAGTGAAGAAGTAGAAGAGATGGGGCCTATTTTTTTACTTTTACAAAGGAGCGCTAAACTTAGCACTTGTATCCTGGGACAACTGTGGTATTTTTTCTCTCTAGAATGCTGAATATATACTATGTGGTGTTGGTGGAGGGGCATGTTATAACACATGAAAAAATATACACATTGGTTATACCAATGAAAACTGTAATTTTGGAGAAGTGTTAAGGATAAGGGAAAAATGATCATGACATAATATTATCTGAAAAAGTAAGTTTCATGGCAATATAAATGATCATAATTTTGTATCTATATGGCTGGAAGAAACCACACCAAAATATTAACTATGATTTTTCTTTGAAAAGTGGGGTTTAGAGCATTTTTAATTTTCTTAATATTTTTCATGTTTCTTCAATAAACCTGTATGCTCTGATTTTAAAAATAAAAAACAAAAATTTAAAAATTTTCCTAGTAGAGAACTGCCCTGGTGCCAAGCTTGACATCACTGCATTCTTTCTAATTATTAGGAGATCACCAAAGAGGCAAAATTGTCCAGGTGTTTAGTGGCCACAGCCTTCTCTAAAACCAAAGAATAAAAAAGAACAGCTAATGGACAAGAAATTGGAGAGGGAATTTCTCTTACTTTATAATATATAGACTATGCCATTTAATATTCTGATTGCAACCAACTGGTCTCACAAATATATCCACCCTGAGTGACTTACTGACACAACCTCAATTTTTGCAAAAGGATTATTTCTAGAGCACACTATTTAGAACTTGGTCAAGAGTAGGAGTATAGACTGGATGCATTAACAAGCACCAACAGTATCACATAGTATAAAGAAATACAGAAGAGATACCTGGTGCATAGGAGGGACTATGGGGAAATTGCACAGGCTTCTGTGACATCTTCTTTCTTTCTGTTCAAAAAGAGGTAAAGTTTCAATTTCTTGGCTCAATGAGTTTTACCCATCTCCCTAAAGGCCCTGTCCTTAGATGGTCTTCACTACTGGGGACCATCTATGGAAGGGAAGAAACTTCTGAGACTCCTGGATCATGTGCATCCACATACCTGTCTTCTACCCGTATTGGCCAACAGAAGAAAGTGGTACTTTGTTTCTAAGCCTGTAAACTCAGCTAGCATTTCCTATTGTTCCCAAGGAACCTCTGAAATCAGGTTATCCTACGACCATCCTGGAAGATGGCCTCAGGAGTAAATTGCTAGCATTAAGTCACATTCTAATTCCTGAGTCACCCAGTTTCCCCTATTTTTTATAATTAACTTTGTTCTTCACGATATGAGACATCTCTTGCAGGAGATCCCCCAATTCTTGCATGAATAAATGAGCCCTTGTGAGCCCCAGAAGGAACTACTAATGAACAATACTGGGTTAGCAAAGGCAGAGGCAAAGAGCAAAGGTCTCTTTTCCTTTTACTACATGATCTTGAGGATTATCTTCGATTTTCTTATTAACTTTTCTGTGTGGAAACCAAATGAATTTTTCATTGCTGCAAACACAGCAAAAGCCTTAAGCTCTTATACAGTGGGAGCTTCTATCTAAGCAATAGACTCACTGCTGGGATTGATTGAGCCAATCCAGCATGCTTATCTCTACAAGGATGTGCCAGGTAGCACTACTGTACCTGAAACCTCTTACCTTTTTGTCTTGACTACTGATAAGGTTTATTTATGGAAAAGTACTATGTCTTAATGGAAGAGCAGATGGCTTGGAGCCA